GAAGGAAGGCCTGACGTACTGAACTTCCTTAGCGTGGACGAAAGATAGAGGGTTCGCCCGAGTCTGAGCCAACGCTCGGTCCTACAGTGACCCGATCGACGCGGATCGTCGTCGATTACGCTGTTAGAGTCGATGATGCTGTAGTGGTCAGAAGGGTCTGGAGAGGAAAAAGAGAAGGACGTGAGCGAAGGAAGGCCAGGGCGAGCGGATGAAGTTCATCCTTCGCCGAGTGCAGAGGAGGACGGAAGATGGCGCGAAAGATGTCGAGGGTCGAGGTTGACGGACACCAGCGCCAGTCGTTACTCGTAGTCATCATCAACTAATATGGAGGTACAGACGAACACCTGCTAGCCGCCGTCGACAGGAGGTTGTGGAATCGTCCTGAACACCGTCGAAGGGCGTGTGGTCTAAGGAGGACCAACTTGCCCCCGGCGTGGTGTTAAGCACCCCATGTTTCTGCGGACGGGGGTGGGAGGAGCGTAGGGAATGTGTACGCATGCCAATCGGTACTCAGTACTCAGTAGGTACTCATCAACGACGCCAGGTGGACACCAAACACCGTCGACGAGCGTGCGGCCAAAGCAGGACTGGCAGGCCATAGGTTAGGTATGACGTTAGGTGACCCAGGTTCCTGTAACTGCGAAGAAGTACACTACCCGCCCGCCGCCGTCCACAAGACATGATCGCTAGCCTCTATAACCGTTGAAGGGCGTGCGGTCGAAGGAGGAGCAGCAGGTCCTAGGCGCGGTGTTAGGCGGACCATATTCTTGGGGACGGTGCGGTGGAAGGCAGTGACCGATTGGAAGGAGGGGGGGATACCGCTGCGGGAGTGATATAAGAGTATCAGCTTATGTAGATCGACTCGGATTGGAGGTGGGTTAGACCTAGAGGTGTCAGATCGGAGAATTGAATATGGTGTTAAGACTCACGATGTCCCGAGCGCGGGACGACGTATCGTCTCGACGGATGCGCTGAGATGCAACAGGGATAGGGCACTGAACTTCCGGGGACGCGCAGTCCTACCCACTCTCAACTCCGCGGATGGATTCTCGAGGTCGGGGCAGTTGTTGTCGATGAGCTTGGAGGAAGGGCAAGAGCGGTGGATAGGGGAA